TAGTAAAGCACATCTTGCATCTTGTTCTGTGGACTGCTGCAGCCCTGGTGCAAGGGGGAGAAGAACTTCCACATCAACTGCCATTCCTGTGGAGTTACCCCAGGGATACGCTCTTAATTTGCAGCCTTCTCTGTTTTTTGTCTTACTGGGTTGCTCACGTTTGTTCTTTCCTGGGTCTGACTGTCCAAGCTGAAAAAGATACTGTAAATCTGACGGGTATCCGAGGTTGATGACCTCTTGGGCTGGACCTGGATGAGAACCTGTGTTATGATCCTGCGTCACTTCGGGAGCTGCAGGTTAAAATAACTCTGCTTTGGTTTCCTCAGCTACAGTACTTGGCAACAGTAGAATAGTATAGAGGCTGAAAGCGTGGGCAAAACAGCGAGCCTGTCTCGGTGCCGTGAGCAGAGGTGAGGGTTTTTTGGTTTTCTTTTGCTTTTCAGCATTACGTGTTCCATAACAGTCAAGCTTTACCTGTATAATCTTGGGAATGAGTAGCATCTCTTAATGGTGAGCAAATTGCATAATTTTTTAAAATTAGTCTCTCATCTGAATGAGACATAGCTATGTTTGTTCTTCCTTACAAAAAAAACCCCGAACATATTTAACATATACTGGCAAGACTTGCTGTATCAAAAGGTAACAGTGCACTGGGCGTAGATCTGAGTTACTTGGTGTTTCACATCCTTTCTGACTGTCTGTTGCTAGCTCTAATCCATGGAAAGTGCTTTGTGAAAAATATGGAAGAATTTCTTTTGCCTGTAGCATCTCAGAGTCTTAAAAATGTTGTGTGGGATTGAAATGTTGCTTCATCCTTCTTCTGGAGCAAATCTGCAACTTGTTTTAGTCCAAAAGGAATTCTAGGACTACAAGAACAGCAGTATGCTATTTCTGTACCAAAATGCCTGAGGTTCTTGTCAAAGAGAAGTGTGATCTGGAGTAGGATATTACTGCCCAGAAGAGCTAATTTGTTCTTAGATTTGATATTCATGTGCCTGGTGAATACTCGGGATTTGATTGCCCTAGGCATTCATCCTTCACGAAAACTGGAACTCCTCCTTTTAATGCGACAGAGACCCTGGCAGCAGCTGTGGAGGAGGGAAGGGGCACCGGGCGACTTGTCCTCACATTCTGTAGACGATGTGTCTTGTGAAGTTTCTCGCACGTGTTTATGAAGTCGCAGATAATCTGCAACAAGCTGTGTATCTGCTTGAGAGTGTAAGAGCCTGAGGTACGTGTGTGATGAATACCGCTCGTGACTTCGGGGATATGGCAGCGCTCCGTCTTACCCTTGGCTCTAAGACTGTGGACGCAGTTGGGTAGTTTTATCAATGAAACTTGCCGCTCGCCATTGAGAAGAAAGTCCTCATTGAGGAAAACAACAGATAAAAGTTATGAAAATAACCCTTGTTCCCTGGAGAGCTGCCGGTGGAGCGGGGAGGGAGGCCTGTTGGCCACACTTGCATTTGAATAATGTGACACAACATAATATGAAACAGTTTAGGATGAAGGGAGCAGGGGGACTGCGCTTCTAGCCCCTCAGGCTTGCTCTGTGTTCAGAGCTTGGTTGCTTGGGTAGGGTGTGTGGGATCCAAATGTGAAATTAAGCTTAATAGCTTTAAATCTTGGCACGTGTCAGGCTTGTCCGAGCTTAAACTAAATTGAGTGCAGGACTAAAATGATGCACGTCGCTTACATGGATGTGTCGTAGTTGACTGCTTGTTACCTATGTGATCAGGGCCTAATTTTTTATAAGGTGTTTGTATTTTTACAAAATGTCCTACTGAACCTAAGCTGAAATTTTCTCTCTGAAATGTTTAACAAATTGTGAGTAATCTGTCGTTGTTTCTGTTTTATTAAAAAAAAAAAAAGACACCCCAGTTGACTTCATTTAGACTGTTTGGACCATTTACTTAGTGTTGAGGTACCCATGTCCAAATGGTGATTTTTAGCGGGTGTTTCAAATAGTTTCTGCTGTAAATTTGGAGCAGTGCTATAGCAGATAAGAGAGGCAGTGGCTCTGTCTGAAATGGCGTGAAGGGGCATGTTAGCCCAATCGACTGAGTAGTGAGGGGAATATATGCTAGAGGTATATCAACAGCTGCAGCTGAATCCCTGCGTGAGGATTCGGGATTTCCCTTTTCCAGTAAGGGGAAACAGCTATAGCTTGGATTTCCTTATTAACAGTCTCTTTCTTCTGTTTATGGAATAAGCTGGCCTGTCTGGTCACTCATTCAGAAGTGTTCCAACATAACGGTTTCTGGACGAGGTGGTCAGCTCTTTTCCCGGGAGTGAATTCTCTGGATAAAACGGTGCGTGTTCAGTATAGCTTTCAAGTACTAGATGCAACTCTGGCACCCTAAGATCTTACTGCAGTTGGTTTGCCTCATTTGTTTCCAAGCTGTTTGATTACAGAGCTTTTCTCTGTTTTAATGCTTGTTTTTGAAGAAGGGATTGTCTCAGGGATGTATTTAGCTAGTTTGGGGGAGGAGTGGATAGCATGTGTTTCAACCGATAGAAAATTTAGTTTCTCCTCTTTAACACTGCACGCCGTGGCATTCACTAATGACAGAATAGTATGGGCTAATTATATGTACATTTATGCTTTTCCTCTCCGAACCAAGCATTTTGTTTATCGTGTGTGAGGGGAAGATGATTAAGAGGTTCTAGCGAACCTTTCCTGGAGGTTTTTTGTGCTTTTACAGGTGCCTTGTTTGTAAGGTCAGCGTTCCCTGGAGGCTTGCATGCCTCTGCTAACCCTTGATATCTAGCTCTTGTCCCACTTTCTATGCTGCCTTTGCGATGCGTTAAAACCTCAGCAGAGTACTTCAAGGAAGAAGTTGAAGTACTTCTCTTTGTCTGAGAAGCCATGTCTCGCTTTATTCTGTCATGCTTTGTGATACTTCTAGGAAGAGTGTTTTTGGGAGAGGCTGAAGTGTGATGGCTTGCTGGCTAGGTAAGGCTGCTTCAGGAGCTTGGCGCTCTGGTTAAGAGTCTCGGAGCTGATGGGATAGAGAGAGATGCTCTAAAAGAGCCTGTTAGCATGAGCATCCATACATAGGGAGGTAAAACTGAGGCATGATCTTATGATTATGCACTGCGTGTTATTAACATAAATCACTGTGATGGGTAATAGTTGGAGGTCTAGGCAATTGATGAAGTGAGCACTGATTTGACTCACAGAAGCAAATTAAATCCAGGAGTAATAAGTATCTAACAGTTGTCTGCTTCACTGCTAAAGGCTGCTGCTCCTGTGGCCAGGGCGGCTGAACAAAACACGGAGCAGTTCTTGTACAGGGAAAATGGGAGCTGGTTTCAGCGTGTTTGGCTGTGAATGGTGGTGCTTGGGCATAGCTTCATGTGTTTCAGTGGTCCCTGCTCCAGACACGCTCATCCTTGGAGAGATTTGGACAGTGTCAGCTCATCCAGGTAAAACCTTGGTGGCTGAAGTTGCAAGTCAAGACCCTTTGGAGGAGCTTGATACTAAAGTCAGGAGGAGAAAATATTTCGGTTCCATGTAATAGAAACAGGGCAAAGACTTGGTGAAGCCTTGACGGGAAAAGATGTCCATGTTATGGGAAACTGGGCTTAAGGGGGTTAAAATTTTGCACCTGTGGCACGTGGCTGTGTAAATGAATTCAGATTATATATCTAGGGATGCTAATGGAAGCATGTTTTAATGAACCCTGGCTAATTACTCTATTAAGTTCCTGATCAATACCCAGGAGACCTCAAACTGCTTGCAGATAGTTTTTTAAAAAACCTGCTCTCTCTCTATATATATATATATTTTAAATCTTCTGCATATAATCAAAACAACTGGAGGCACTTGGTTTGCAGAGTTCTGGTTCACCAGGGCTTTATATATTTGGAGGCTGTCTCTAAATTAAAGCTGAAGACTTAAGCACTTCCAAAAGTATTAATTGTGAATTTTTGATGGGAAGTGCAGATGAATAAATGGGCTTGAGAGAGCAGATAGCAGGAGAGAACATGATTTTTTTGGAATAATTTTTTCTATAAGTGTATTGAAATGTATGGGATGATTAGTTGGGTTACTTTAATGTGGTCTGTTTTTTGCTTTAGGGTTGGAACCTGTTGCACATGCTGGTGTAGACCAGACAAGGCAGATGTGTGTGGTTTTCTAAAAGAAGAAAGAGTTCTCGTAAATACTAGCTGGTGTATGCATGTTCTTAAAGTGACCTATATAAGGACCACCTCTTAGGTTATCTCAGAAACTTGATTTTCCCCAGAGTATTGTGTATGAATTTCAGTGGACTCAACGTTAATATTAAATAAAAATGTCACGCAGGCGGCTTTACCCTTAAGGGATAAAGTACTGTCTTTAAATTGGTTCATATTAAGGAAGCTGGAATATGTTTAGTCTTTTCTCATTGAGCTAATTAGCAAAACTGTGTTGCGTGTTCATGGTTAATACATCACTGTGTGTGTGCAAATGGATAATGAATGCATAACCAAGATTAGGAAAGGTAACCCTTCAGCAAACAGCCTGCAACACCATCTCCTTGAGTTTTGTTTCATGAATTCTTGGCAGTATTCAGCGAGGAATGCCAAGTCTGTCAGACAGATGGCTTTTATTCTTGTGTGTATTCAACCCGTTGCAGCTTCTGGTCTCCGTTGGTAGCAGCACTGATCGTATCAATGGGAAAGTATCTGTGCAGCCTGCTTTGACTTGCATAGCAAGGGAATGACTATGCACACGAAGGCTTTAGGCAGCCTGTCAGATGCATTAATGCTGTACCACTTGAAGGCTTGCCCTCTTCCTATACTTCGGTGGCAAAGGGGTGTAAGAAGCAGCATGTGCCTTGTAAAAAGAAAGTTAGGAGCCTAGTAGCCTCATTAAGGGAATCCCAAGTAGAGCATTCTCTGTATAAATGAACATCAGGTGGTGCTAACTTAAAAACACCCACAAATCCTGAGTTGTAGGTCTTGCTGAAGATTATAAACCCTCACTGACTCCCACTGAAATGATTTAGTGGTTAATGGGCTGGCTGAACAAATCCTTTGCCCGGGAGCTTTTCAGAATTGAAATTGGCAGGCAGTTCGAGGAGCCGGTTCCTGAGGTATGAGCAATCTGCTTAAAAGCTTTTTTTATTAGACCCCAAAAATTTGTTACCTTGGTAGAAGCCTTGAGAGGGATGTTGTCACTCGGAGCCAGAGAAACCAGAGTCCAGCTGGGTCTTGAACTTTGCAAGAGAGAAGTCCCTGGAGCAGGCAGTTAGCAAACAGGGTTAAGAGATTAACGTGGAAATCATGGGACTTTGAGGCAGAATCCAGCTCTTCCCCCTCTTACAGAAAAGCGAACACACCCTTTTCATAAATTTGAGATCCTCCATCCTGTGCTATCTGAAAGCAGCAGTTGTGTGATGTTATGTTAGCATACTGTTTCCTTGAAGTTTTCGGAAAGATCACAAGATTGAAAAATAGCCAACAAACTTTGTTCTCCGTATTCCTTCAGCAGTGAGTGGGAAAGTTGGAATTTTATGCTTTAGTGAAATTGTAGAGTTTGCTTTCCGTATTCTCTTATCTTGTTTAATGTTGTTGCTTTTGTGCCTAACTCTCGTCTGCTTTGTTTTATTGTTGATACAGCTCGTTTAAAAAAAGGAAAAAATCCCTGTTATGTTATCAAGAGATTGTTCAAGCATGACTAGAGATAAAATTAACTAGCAAGTCAGTGCTGTGTGCTCAGAGGAGTGGCTTCAGATGATGGCTCGCATTCCCGTACTAAAAATGACCTTAGGCAGTGATATAAAAAGACAGGGGTGGGCAAGGGGTACCAACTGGAGTGAAACTGTTCATCCAGTGGTGGATATAAAAGGACAAGATCTAACCTTAACAGCGGGTCAGTGGAAGACGGCTTTTTTTCATATACAGAAGTCTAACAAATAATTATTTGATAATTATTACTCTTCAGTGCTTTCCGTGCTCATACAAGGCATAGCCGAACTGGCTCATGGCTTTTAGAGAGTCTTTACTGAACAGCTTCAGTAAATGATTGTAATCGCAGTGATTCTTTCCTGCAATCTTGCAGTTAGTCTCTGGCAAGAAGGTGGGGATCAAATACAGACGGGGTTTCCAACCGCTGGGCTTACTGATTATTTTTTTTGTTAATACCCTTTTCACCTAGGTTCTCCTGGCTGTGCTAAAGGAAAAGAAACTGCTGTACAGCTGTGGATCGTATCAAAGACTTCAAATATACTGGCAAATCTTTTGAGAATAGGCAAACGAGTTCTGTAGTTCTCCTGCAGTGAATTCCTAGGGCAGGTCCCATGTACTGGCTGGAGGATTTTCTCCCTGTGTAATTTGGTGTCTGCTTGGATTTCCAAGGGCAGAGCTGTGCTGGTGAGAAATCGTGTCTGGTTGATGTCATCCTAAGAAACATGTAGGAAAGGCCATAGCCATTCAGACTTCCTAGGAGCAAAAGTGGAGTTAACACAGTAACAGTACTGGGTTTTCATCCTTTACTGCTTAATTTTTTGTAGTTCCCTGGCTAATGACATAGTTGAGGAAAACTTAAAATTCAATCTCTTAGGTACTTGAAACAAACATTTTTTTTTTTAATGGGTCAGATACTGGCAGTTGCGTTCATTGATGTAAGTATTATTGAAGAGGCAACACAGCTGGTGGTCCACAGCTTGGTATATTGATGGTTGTGTTCAGAAATCTGCTTAATTCTGTGTTAAAATGGGATGTCTGGATGTGTAACTGTATGCAGACTCCTTTGCAGGCTGTCTGCAAGTAGTTCAAAAGCTGTTGCTTCTTAAAAATCAAAGAGAACCTTGCAGCCAGCTGAGCTGATGTAAAATCCTTTTCTTGATCTCACAGAAGCTTTACGTTCTCCTGCAAGGATATCCTGGAGCACATCTTTGGAGCTTTAGTTCATTCAAGTAGAATGTGTTTATGTGAAATGCTTTCTTTGCTGTTGCTGGTTTACGAGGAGCCTCCTGTGCCACAGCTTGTTGCTGTGTGCTTAGTTAGGCCAGCTGAGTTGCTTGCAGGGCTGAGCTGTGAACTGAATTACTGATTGAGCTGGACGTTGTGGTGTAGACCCAAACCTTTGATCAACCATTAACTTGAGTGGTGCAGCTCCTCAAGCAGTTGCATTTGAGATGGCGTTCAGGGTGCCAGCGTGAACAAAGAGCTGGAGATTGATAGGGGATGTGGAGCAGGGTGGATCTTTAAAAGCCCAGTTCGAACTGCCAGTTCCAGGCAGTTGAAGTTCCAGCAGGGTGGATCCTCAAGACCAGTTTGGTCTCCACAGTGGCAGGCAAGATCTAGCAAGTCCCACAGGCAGAACAGTAAACACGGTCAAGGAGCTGGTCAAGACTTCTTAAACAAGTCTGTCTCACTTAAGAGCGCTTGTTAAAGCCTGAAAGGTGTACATGAAGCTTGACATCTGGAAGTCTTAAATCAAGTCCATTGCCTATGACTTTGCAATAACAACAGAAAATTGAAAATACAATGTAGTGTTAAACTGAGGTATAGCCTTGTAACAGCATTGCTCTCTGTTTTCAAACCGTGCAGTTATTGTCTAATAACTTCAAGTGATCAGTCTTGGAGGTTCTGGAGAAAATGCAGTGAATTCTCAAAAGTTGAGGTGAGTCTCATGTATGAGAAACAGCAGCAATAATTCAGTTTTATTAGACTTGGCAACATAAGACCCCTAAAACTAAGCTGAAGGGGCATTTGATTTAAGCATAATACTCTAAGTATTAGTGTATAAAAGAAGGTTCAAAGAGAAAGGATGCTACAGAGAGTATTTCCAGGTAGTTAAAATGTCCATAACACCTTCTTTCCTCGCCGCCTCCTCTCTTCTTAATCCTGCCATTGCCAGTGAATGTGACCAGCGAGCGGAACTGGATGAACATGCAGACTTGAGCGCTGCACAAATTTAACCGGTCACTAAGCTTTCCCTCTGGCATAGTTTACCTATGCTTTCCTTTCAGACTTAATTCTGTTTAATTTTGTACCGTGGTAAAAGGAGACTCTCTGGTTAGACTCATTTGCCATTGTTTTCTCTAGCATTGCTCAGACTTGCTTGTTTGTTTTGCAAGTCTCAAAAGATGTCTGATCTTAAAGCAGTTTTAGTGATCTGAGATATGCATGTATTGAAATGGATGCTCTCGGTCAACAAAAGGAGCACCTTGATTTACAGTGAACTTTTGGGTGGCTCACAGGCAGATGGAAGTGTGCTTAAAAGGGATATAGACTTCATAGAAATGCTTTGCTGTCCTTTCTAGTCAATACAGAAAGGTTGTTCTGGCACAATTTTCTGGTGACCTGTTTCTAATTAATGTGCAAATTAACTGCTTGGTGCTGGAGATCAGGATTGCAAATACTAAGTGCTAATATGTGTTAGGTTGGGAAATCCCCAGCATCTGTTAAAGCTCCAGCACTGTCTACCTTGTGTTTGCTGCTGCCTGCGAAGTGGTTCCCTCTGGAGGAAGAGCTACTGCAGCCTGCTATCAAATGGCTCCTTTGTTTCACTTCAAAGAGAACAGTTTTTGGTTTTGTGATGTTGATGCTTGTTGCCCCTCGTAGGGAGTCATCTGAGTGCATTTACAGCCTGGTTCACCAAAACTGGCTGTCGTGAAAATGGGCAAGATGAGCTTCTTCACGAAACACTGCAATTCCTCTAGGGAAATATGTGAAATAACTTCTTCATACTAGTGTTACAAATGCGAACTAAATGAAGAAATTGGCATATTCATTAATGCTTGTCATCACTTAAAATTTAGTTTTTCATTAAATGCTGCTGTACAATTTATATTTAGAAAACGGCTTTGATCAACAGGTAGAGATGATTAATTTAGTAAAGCTCTGGTCAAAAAGCGAGGTTGTACCTTTGTCCTTGAGGCATCTGCTTATTTTGGTGTCACAGAACATCTTATCTTTCCTCTTCAGTGTTTTTGTGCCAACATTCCCTATTACCAATGATTGTAACAGCTGATATAGTAACACATTTTGGCACAAGCTGTATAAGGTACAAGAAAACCCGACTTGATTTTTCGGATCGCAGTTTGTTTCTAGTGCTGGCAATTAAGAGAAATATCTTTTGTGCAAACTGAGCAAATTTGAAATGGAAAAAATGAAGCAAATAAGTGCTCAAAAGCCCTTTTCTTCTCCAAAATGCAACTAAGACTTAAGCTTTGTGAGAGAGTTATGTTGAAACATCGAGCTGTCAACAAAATTGGGTCTGTTTCAAAGCAGAGGAAAAATGACTTTTAGTTGTGTAAGTCGGTTCAAAGAGTTAATAACCAAATGGTTTGGTTGCAGACGGAGTCCCACAAGCTGGCTCCAGCGAAGACGGTGGGAGCCTGTGTGGTCAGTCCTAAACGGCACTCAACTGCACCAGCAAAGGGGGCTGGAGGTGAATCTGCCTGAAATTTTGTGCTAACTAGGTTGGGGCAGTGCAATAACAAAATTAGTTTTGTAAAAAAATTGTAGCTCAAATTAGCATGGAGGCTGTTAGTGAGCCTAATTAAAAGGAAAGACTTCTGAAAAACCACCATGAAGGACTCTTAAATTCAGAGGTGTTCTTGTGTAGACTGTACTTCCTTTTTTTCAGAAGATACTGTAAATGTCTTAGAAGAATTAAAGCATTTCAGCAAACCGCCTGTCAGCACTTTACATTACGGTGCTGCTGTGTAAAGCCTGAATGCTGCGCACCTTTCCTGGCTCTCCTGTCTTTACAGTGTAAAGCTTCACTTTGCTAATCCTACTTCCACCAAAACTTTAAATAGAAGATGAGGAAGAAGGATCAAGTCTTCAGTTTGCATAATTGATGGATTAACTCCAATTTGCTTATCTCAAAGGGCAGTAAGAACTGGCTTCTAGCAGTGAGCCCCACCTGCGTTGGTAAGATCTCGCTTGTTCTGACAAGGTTTCCCGCTGCACAGCAGAGTCGTTGAAGGAGGCAGTCTTCCAGAAATGTGTGGGAAACTACCTGGGTGTTTTAGAGGGCGTCTTACTGCAAAAAGTCAGCAAACTTAGTGCCAAGTCTGTGCAATTGTCTGCCCTGGTTT